TACCTTCCATATCCAGTAGCATCCCTGTAGAACTAACAACTATGTGGGTCTGATCCATTTAGTTGCATCACTGAACTGAGAAGGTTTTTAGTCCCTACTAATTATGGATTTTTTTTTTTGTTCTTTTTTTTCCTTTTTTTAAGGTATCTCAGGTAGTCCTAGTGTTACTGGGATTTCCTATGCAATCCCTCTTGGCTCTAGGCCATTCCTGTGCAATCTTTAGTACTACCAACACACTTCTCCCTCTCAGGTGGATCATCAATGCTTCCAGGAAGTACTGTTGCTGGCAGGAAATGCTGATTTTTTTCCCAGAAGGTTTCTCCTGCAAAAGGGCCTTCCTTTAATAAACAAGGTTTGTAGGTTGTGTAAATGTAGGCATTGGCAAATGTGCAAAAATGTTACTATGACTCCTGGGATTTTCCTTTTGCTGGAGATTTTTCTGCCCATAATTATTCAAGTCAGCAAAATTATGCGGACTCTTTCTAGATTTTTTTGTTGTTTTAAAGAGTATTTTCAAAGCTAACTGGTTCCTCTGCATGTGTCTTTGTCTGTCTGTGTAGTTTATAGCCTCATTGGGACAGGGATGGTGGTTTCCTTTGTCTCTGACAGAGCACTATGCCAGTACTTAACAAATTATAAATACGTATTGGTGGTCCTCACCATGGAACTTCAGAAGTCTTCAGTGGGCTCACTTTATTACTTTTTCTTTTTTCTTTTTTTCTTTTTTTTTTTAACAATTGCCACTGCTGTGGCTTCCTCTCCTGGTGAAGTCTGAGGTGCCTTTTCATCCCAAAATGAAAATGCCAAAAGTTTTTTTTTTGTTTGTTTGTTTCAGAAGCAACTATGATAGTATAATTAAGTTAAGAAATGGCTATACTTTATCTCTAAATTGCTGTCTACTGCCTTTTTGCATTAACTTTTGGGAGTTAGAAGTAGTGAAAGGTTTCATAGTTAATATTTGAATAACAAAGATACTGAAGAAATAATTGGATGTCCAGCATGTTGTAACACTTGGGATCTCAAAAGCTTGTCAGATTTGGAAATGCTTTCTTAGATGAGTATGCTTGCTGAAGTAGAGAACTTCCAATTGCTAGCCCTGGACCAGTTACACTGATCTATCAGCGTCCTTTATGCTGTTTCCTTTTGAACTTTGGCTCCTTTTTTCCCTTTTCCTTGGTTCTGTTATTTTTATCTCACTGCTGCTGGGTCTGTAGTTTTATGTGAAGTTAACAAAAGCAATTTTAAATTAAAGAATATCGGCTGTCATCTTCCTTTAATATATTGATGTAAATTAATCCCTTCTTTCAGCTTCATATGTGGTTGTATTCCTGGTAAGGCGCTAAGTATCTTCCTCCAATAGTAAATTTTTAAACTAAATATTTTTGCAGAAGTTGAGTCTTTGCTCAGCCAAAAATAAGCTCCTTTCATAGTTTTTAGTTTTGTTTTATCCTGCTCCTTTTCTCCTAGAAGACAAGCAGGACTAGTAGAAGTTAGCAATACCTCCTTGTTTGGGAACAAATTAACTCAACTCTAGAACCCGATTTTTTTCTCTTTATGCAGCACTGAGTAAACGTTGCTCTCCAGGGTTGGCTGTAAAATAAATACTTATGACAGTGACCCACCCTTAATACCTCTTTCCCTCAGGACCAATAAAGTTGCAGCACTTTTTGGCAAAGTGCCTATAGTATGATGTGATGAGTCACATGACTGAACATGAGTTGGTTTTCTGGAGTTGAACACTGCTAGGAAGATAGAGGTTGCCATGTCTTATTGAATCAATGTCCTATTCAATCCAATATCCTATTTTTGACAGTAGCCAGTACTAGGTGCTAGCAAGATACACGCACAGAGACCCAACTGCAGACCAGCTTGACTTTGGGGCAGTCTCTTTCTGATCTCCCTGGTGAGGGGGTGGTTTGTAATCTGAAGTAAGATCTAGATCCCTTATAATAATCTGTGAGTATTCTCATCTAGGTAAAGCATTATTCCTCTGAATCATTGTAAGCTCTTGGTGTCAATATGTTAGGACAATGAGTTCTACAGATTGTGCTGGGCTTTAGACAAAATCCTCTTATCAGTATGTGAATTCACTGTTGATTTTATTTGATCTCCCCTTGCTCTTGTGTTTGAGACAGTTCTGTGGATCCTTATAGGGGTGGTGTTTTAGCCAGCAGATCCTCTAAACAATTAACTGCCTCTAAGAACAGCTCCTTTTCTAGAATAAAATCTGCACTGGTGAAGAGAAACATTCACTAACAACTATCAGTGGTAACTAATATCTTTAGATAATTGTACGCTAATATCTTAGGAATGAGGCTATATTATGGGGTGCTTTTTGCTCTGTTGTAGTTGAACAGTGACCTCTATTGTTTTGGGGTTTTTGTTTTGTTTGGGGTTTTTTTAGCAAATATGTTGTAAATAATCTAAAAAATGTCATTGCCTTTTATTTTCAGAGTTGTAATGCACAGTGGTACCAGATGAATGATTCCATTGTAGCCATCACTGATATCAGAACTGTCCTGAATCAGCAAGCTTACATGCTTTTTTATATCAGGTAATAATAATTACTAAAATGTATTCAAAATTCAGTTATTTTCCTGTCCCTCTCATTTTTCTTATTCTTCTGCCTGAAGTGTTGTCCCTGAAGTCCTGGTGTTTTAAGTCACTGTTCAGCCTAAACTGTTGAGCTAGTATAAATTGCTTAACATTATCTGCCACGCTCTAGCTGGCTACTTGGTGGGTGAAGCGAGTCTAGTACAGATAAAACCCTTCGAATCAGCTATACATAATCAGCTGAGGGAGGGGAAGAATTGGGAGACTGAGTTGTTAATGGGGTAAGAAGGTATTTTAGGTCTGTTACCTAATTTTATTTGTCTTAGTTGGGGTCTCTAGTATTTCATATAAACTACTGTATAAATTAGATGTGTTGGGCACAAAGAACAAATCTCAGTAAATATTATCATTTCTGCAGGTCCTCTGATGTGAAAAATGGAGAACTCATTTATTCCATTCCAGGACAGTCTTCTCCCCGTCCAGCTATCAGTCAGCGGGTAGTTAATAGCAAGCAAACTGTATCAGGATTTATTGGACCACAGCTTCCTCCCCACCTGATTAAGGTAATACTTTAGGTCAGGGTCAACAACCTTTTCCTGAAGCAGGCTGGAGTTTGCTAACTACCCCCTACCACAGTTGCAGATCTCCACCCTGTCCCCTGAGGTCTGAGCTGCCTGCACTTACCCTGCTTTGCTTAGGTGAGGATAAGCCCAGGGATGGGCGGCTCAGTGCAGCTGCCCAATCCCATGTGCCATCTCGGGCCACTGGAGTGAACTTTTGCCCCTGGATCCAGCCCATGGGCCATAGGTTGCCCACCTCTGCTTTAGCTAGATTTTATATACATGCCAAAAACATCAGTCAAGACTATTATGTTTTGGGATGTCAGCTTTGTGTATTTACATGAAATCACACTAAAATGTATCCTTTTTAATTACAGACTTCTGGCCATTTAAATGGAACTGGGTCACTAAAAGAAACTCCAAGCAGTTCTGTGGTGTGTGCTAGCAATGTTACCCTAACCAGGCCAAATTCGGCGCCTCCTTCAACTTCCATTCAAAACTGGACAATTAACAGACCCACTATTCCTGATCCTTCAAAAAAACAGAAGATTACTATCAGTATTCACAACAAACTGCCTGCTCGCCAAAGCCTGGCCCAACCCAATCTTCATAACAGCTCTTTGGAGAGTCTGAGCAAGCCTGTTCCTTCATCCACCATTACTAATTCCTCTGCAGTACAGTCTACCTCAAGTGCTTCTACAATGTCAGTTGCTACTAAAGTACCTAAACAATTGGCTACTAGTGAAGCTTGTTCTAAAGCAGTACTGAATGGCAAGTCTAAGCTAAGCTCCAGCACATTGGTCCCTTATGGTGCAGAATCTTCAGAAGAATCTGATGAAGATTCAAAGGCATTAGTTAAGGAGAATGGACACAAGAAACCTGTAAATGGAATTTTGATTGGAAGTGTAGCTAGTTCATTGCAGAATTCCTGTTCTTCCTATCAAGATGCTGAAAAGGAGGTACCCCAGCATGAACTGCCAAAAACTGACAGAGTCAATGGTGACAAAGTCAATGGTGCTATTTGTCTAGATAATAATTCTAAAGACAATGGTTTGAAACTTGATGATTCCACTTGCCAAACCAAGGCTCTTAAAACTACAGAGACTTTCTTTCCTAAAATGAATGGATTGCATGGAAAAGTGAGTTATGTTTGTTTGAGCTAGAATTTCTTTTTGCAGCAGATTATAAATATTATTATCTGTTCTAAGACTACAGTTGTTCTAGATGACTTGTTAGAAACATGAATGTTAATGTGGAGCTTTAAAACACTGAAGTGCTGTCGGTGTGGTACCAAAGTTTGTACAGGGTCATTGTATTATTTGATGTGCAGTCTTTCTGTTAGGAGATCTTGACCGCTTCTGACTGTTAATGAGTCCATTTCCATGAATAGTACTCTTACCAGAATCTTGAGCAGATTCTTTTGTTGATATTGCTCATCTTCAATTCTGCTGAAGTTGCCAGTGTATATTATTCTGATGTATTTCACTGTTTAAATTGTGAGTTAATGAATTGTCAGGTATATACAGGCATTATATTTAGATCAGCCTAACCAGAATGAGGTTGATTTAATGCCCAATTGTGCAGCATTCAGGAGGTTTAATTTGGACAAAAAATGGCATGCCCAATCTAAATTAGTGCACCTGAGTGGATGCATGAACTCTAGATCGACATTGGGTTAACCCAATCTCCTGAACACCTGTGAATGTCCACAGTGCAGCCCCAGAACTGTGCTAATTTCACCCTGCCCCCACAGACCCACATCCTTCCCAGTCCCACCCACCTGCCCACATACCAATTTCCTTTTGTCAGGCTCCCCCCCTGCAGCTCCTGAGAGTAGCAAACAGCAAACTATTGCATGTGCCACTCCTGGTCTAGGTGGGTTAAGATGAGAGCTAGACCAGTTGCAGAAAATTCCTCTTTGCACCCTTGGGATGCTGCACCAACAATAATCTAAGTAAGAGTTTTTCGAGCACTTTAAATATTGTAAAGTATTCTGGAATCCTTTGATTAAGATGTTATAAGTGATCCAATCACTATTCTTTCTATATATTAACATATCTTTTTAATTGTAGATGTGTGCAACTCTGCCTTCAGTCCCTGAAGATAAAATCTTAGAATCATTCAAATTCAGCCAGGTGAAAACTTCATCAGAGGAAATAAGGTAAAATAATAATCATTTCATACAATTTTTTTGAATTTATCTAATTATTGGTACTATTTAAATGAAAAGTTTTAGGTCAGTGCAGGAATATTGTACTGAACGTAAAGATGGAAAGAACAGAACCTGGTATTGGCACTGCAAATTCATTTCAGTATTTAAACGATATTGCTGCCTCCCAAAAAACTTCAGAAAACATTCGGCATAAAAACCATTCTCTTGCTTTTAGTATTTTCTGCAATAGCCTTGCTTTCTTACCACTCCCAAGGATGCGTGTTGAACATGATACCTTTTATTAGTGTGGTATGACCTTTTTCCTACCCTGTTTCTAAAACTGGATAGTCATATCTCCAAAAAGACATGAACATACAGCAATGAGAGGGGGAAGCAAAAGCATCAGTATGAGAAGCATCATGACAATGGAATGAAATAAAAACTAATACATAGTGAGAAAAGTAGCTGTTTAAGAACAATTCCAGTTGTTCTACACTCTCTGGTTAGGAGTGAGTGTAAATTCTTGACACCTGTATTTTGGTAGGAAGGAAGAAACTCACTATATTACCATACAATATTTCTTGTTTCCTTGGGGAACCGCAAAGGGGAGGATGTTTGGCTCTAGTTATAAGACAGCAGTGAAGAGATGGACAGCATATAAAACAGCCTTCCTCTGGAGCTGAGGAAGGAGATTGAATGTCTTCCAGGAACAGTTAGCTCCTTCCCACTTTATTTACTTGTAGCAGACATCTTACAGAATATTGTCTATTTCTGCTGAAAAGTCACGTTTCTCTCTTTGTGCAGTATAACTGGAACTGAAAAAACTGATCGCAGTATTCCCAACGATTGCTGCAACAGCCAGAGTCCCTTTGCTGCATCAGCTCCTGAGACCATTTCTACCAAAGAAGGAATTGTAGAGAATACTGTGGCGAAAAAGGAGGAGGATCATTCTGACATCATTGATCAGCATAAAGCTAAGAAGAGAACCTTGGGCACTGAAGAGGAACATGCTCTTGAGGAGCCTGCGGATAAGGCAAGAGGACCAAAAGAAGCAAAGGTGATGTTAAAGGAGACTCCTCTGCACATCAAAGGGCCTGCTGAGACTGTAGAGAAACTGGGACAAAGCTCCCTCATAAGGTCTGACAGTGAATGTAATTCCAAAAAACTTTCTACCTTAAACGTTATAGACAAATGCCAAGAAACAAAGCACAGTGCTAGTGACTATTCAGAGGGACAGAGTGCTATGGACTCTCCTACAAAACTGAGCAAGGTTCTAGAGAGCTATTCTAAGGAAAATGAGGGACTGAACGATAATGACAAACTTGGAGAAGACAAAGAAAGACAAAAACTTCAGACGCATTCTCCAAGTAAAGAAAAGGTCTGCACCACCAAGAAGATGGAGAGGGAGCACTACTGTAAAAAGAGACGGCACTCTGAAAACGAGGAGAAACTGGACAGTCGTGACTCCAGAAAGAGACGAACGTACAGCAGTGAGAGGGGGAAGCAAGATCATCACTACAAGAAGCACCATGACAATGGAAGCAAATACAAACTCATGCATAATGAAAGAAGCAGCAGAAGCTCAGGAAGATATCCTGATTACAGATCCCACAGCAGAGAACAAAACGATAAGGATGGGGGTTGGTGTTATCTTCCTAAGAGAGACGGCTCTTGGAATAGAGAGAGGTATTACCAAGACATCCCACGAAGGTGGGACAAAGGTAGATATTACTATGATTATTATCCTTTCCATGCACCAAGAGACAATCGAGAGAGAAAGTTCTCTCACGTGGACAGAGAGTATGAGAAACCAAGCCACATTTATGACCCTAGGTCATACAAGGACTATTACTACAAGACGCGATGGATTCATGAGCCAGCCACTAAGGAGAGAGAGAAACGCAACTTCAGCAGCTCCAAAGGAGACTTTCACCATTGCCCAGCACCACCCCAGCATTCTGAAAAGTATTCCTCAGAGAAAAGTGCACCCACAGCTGGAGAAAACACTTCCAGTTTTGAGACTTCTTGCCTCAAATACGAGGACGTAAAGGACAGAAAAAGAAGATGCCCTATTGGAGACTAGAGTGACAGTGAGGCAGAAAGGGAGCGCAAAAAGACCCTTCAGCGTGAGCCTTCGGAGGAGCAAAAGGTGAAAAAACACAAGAAATCAAAGAAAAAGAAAAAGTCCAAAGACAAACACAGAGAGAAAGATAGCAGGTAACCCAGAAAGAATTTGTCGCTGTGGTTCAAGAAACTGTTTTAGCAATTTTATTTTGGGGTATTTTCCTTTCTTCTCTTGCTTCCAAGTCCATTGAATTGTAGAAGTACTATTATGTACTAATTATCAGTTTTGGTTTTAAAGTTTTAAAAACTGCTGCCAGATCTTTCTTCTGAGTGCTTCCTAATTCTCCTAGATAAACAGGAGAACTTTTCTATATGCACTTTTTTCAAACTGCTCCTTATTTTATAGACTGCAGTCATATTTCTTCTTCTGCCTAACATCTCAGCCCAGCTGAAGAGACCTAAGCCTTTCCATCCTCCTTTGTCTTTGTTACCATTACTTGAACATCACTCCACTGCTTTAAGCAGAGCATCAAAGGAGTTAAGAAAAGAAGATATGGTTTCTTATTTTGAGTTTGTTCTGCCAAATTTTAATAGATTGTAGCCAAGTCTAGATTTTTTTTTCTCTCTACAAATGGTTAGATGCCTTCTAAATTTTCTGTTTTCTTGGTTTTGGGGGTGGGTTTCTTCAGACATTACCAGGATTCAGATGCATCTATGACCCTTTCCGATGCTGAGATTTACAAACATAAGAAAAAGAAGAAAAAGAAGAAAAAGCATGCAAAGAGATCTGAGGGCTTCTTTGAACATGCAGCTCCTCATGCTCAGAAGCAGGATAGCTCCGAGATGAACAGGACATGGGAGAAGAAAGAGGACTCCGATCTTACAGATGACACTCCAGTTGAGGAGCATGGACGACATGGGTACGAACGTTTACATGAAGAGGATGCAAATTCTTCCCTTAAAAAGAAATGCTTAGAAGGAGGCAAGGAAAATAGTTATCCTGTATCTAGAGAGGATAGTAAAGGTAAGAGGCTAGAGAAGTTAACAGGACTTCTTTTTATTCAAATAAAGGAAAACATCCAAAGCCATTTAAAGTGCTGTGTATTAGTACTTGTACAGCATGTTACAACTCCAAATGTTTGATAAGCTGAAAAAGGCAACTGTAATGGCAGCCACATTCAGTAAATTGCTGACCACTGACTACCTACTCAAAATAGTACTAGTTAGGAATAACTCTTTATGTGGGGCTTGTTAACATGAAGTATTTTTCTGTTTCAGCTACCATCCTGCCTTCTCATAAGGACCATGGACAGACAGCTGTTAAATCTTTGGATGGCACCTTTGCATACACTGATGAAACTAGATGGAAAGTATGTTGAGTTCCTCTGACTGTTCTGATTGCATACTTATTTTGTAGTAGCACAAGTAAATAAGTTGAAAAAATATCCTCTAGGCTTTCAGAGCATAATTGGTCCAATTTCCCCTTAGTTTGTAATAAGACAAATCTACTTCACTGTATGGGAGATGCACAAAAAAAATCCAACTCTTGGATAGTTAGCATAATTCATGTTGGACTGACTTATAAGTATATGGTTGTAATTATATCATATTATTTAAAAATGGATATAATTGTGTGTATATATTGTAAATCATACTCATATAATCATGATTGTTATAAAGTGATAATTAGTCCTATTAACCCTTTGGAACCAGGAGTAGGTATGAAGCACTATACACCATATAGATCTAAATATCAAAATGTTGATTGACCAAATTTTCTGCTGCTTGTTCTAAACTTTAGGTGTCATGAATATGTTTGTAAGGAAAAATTATTTTAAAATCCATATTCTCTAATAATGATACTAGATAGTCCTGCACATTCAAACACCTTTATAAACAAACAGATAATAATACAGTTATTTACTTTTAACATTGCTGGCTTTACGCACATAATAATGGAAGTGGTATGAGTTCAAGAAGTAATTTTCAAAGTGATTAAAATATTTTTCCAGTATCTCCTCTATAACCATTACAGTAGTGCTCTGTGAAATACCAGCTGAACTCTACTGGCAAGACATCAGTTTGTTTAACTAAAACCAAAAAAACTCTCTCTTGTAGGTGAGTGGAAAGCTGTCCTTGCAGGAAAAACTCGCTAGCCACAGGCAAGTTGTACTTTTAAATCTCTCTATGTTATATATACACACATTGGGCAGCTGGGATGGGAGAGAAGCACATTTAAGTGCTTGGATGCCATCTGTATAACTTGGAAAGGGGTAGACAGTGATTGTTAGTGCCCTCTACTGGCCAAGCACAGAAAATGACGAGAGTTTCTGCTGGTCTGAAGCAAGCGCTATGCTACTTAGTAGCTGAGTTAATTTTCAAGACTTGGAATTCTTTAAACTGAAATCAGTTGTAGTGAATCTTCTAATCTTTCTGGTTGGAATGATTCAATCTCCAGTGTCAGTGTGAGGGGAAAAAAGCTGATCACCAGCAGGATTCCTACTGTTGCTTCCAGCAGCAAGGAAAATATAATGTGCATCACCATAATACTTCTGTTACACATAAAACAGATGAGTCCAGTGAGTTTCTTCCTTATCCCAGCTGTCGACTTATATAATTGAAAATGCATGTCTGTGTTACGTTAGTGGCTGTTACAATGCTTACTCATCTTTGGTATCTTGTTCCATGGGCTTTTAGTTCCTGCAGACAGGAGCTAACTGAAGTTTCTCAAGTAGCAGCACTGTAAATATTGGCTTTTTAATGGCATTGGCGAGGGCTGGTATTCACTGTTCCAGAGTGTAGGTAGCCTGATTGCTAGATCAAGTAGAGGACAAAAGAAAATGAACGTTGGGTTTTAATAAGCGCGTTGACCAGTAGGTGGCAAACTTGGGTCAAACCAGACGAAACAAAGTCTGGCTGCATGTCACATTTGAGGTAAGGGGTTTAGAATATCTCTGCTTGAAGATGTTACAGCATGTCCAATAGTGTGTGGAGTAGCACAGTATCAAGCCTTAGTCATTAAGAAACCAAACTGCTGAACCAATATCTTTTGTATCAAAAGTTCTAATCTAGCAGTAACATTATTTTCCATTTTTCTTTCAGATTCTGATGGAAGCCATCCCTACCCAACTTAAATTATATTTATAAACTATTGACTCTTCAATCCATAAGTGGTGCTTCAGACTATTGTACAGAATTTTACCATTGAAGAACTTTTTTTAATTTTTACCTCGGGACTTTCTTTTATAAAATCTGCCCGCAATCCAAAAGGACTGAAACTTTCTTACAACTGCTGAACATTGTAAAATACCATGTAAATATCACACTGAAAATTAATGCCCTGGAATAGAACATCTCAATGCTGCTTAATTACAGACTCAGGTTGACTATGTGTTATTCATGTAATGTTACTCCAAGTTAGACATCTGGTGCAAGAGAGACCAGGAAACCACAGAACTATGAAAACTGCAACTGACAGTCTGTATATTTAATTTAAAGACTTATTTAAAAATTTCACAAGCTCTCCAATAACAAGAGTTTTGCAAGAGCTTAATCTGTTTTCTGTGATGTCTGACACTAGAAACTAATTCACTTTACACTTCAGTTATACTCAAGATTTTGGAGAAAAAAGACCCTTATGAAAACTTCTGGTTTTGGACTTTGTCAAACATACTGCTCAAAATATACTGTTCTGACTCAAATAATTTATACTTCAGTTACTTTCAAGATTTGGAGAAAAAGACCCTTATGAAAAGTTGTGGTTTTGAACTTTGTGAAACATACTGTTCAAAATATACAGTTTTGACTGTAGGAACTAATTTCCTTTATGCTTCAGTTATATTCAAGATTTGAAGAAAAATATCCTAATGAAAAGTTCTGATTTTTGAACTTTGTGAAACATACGGCTCAGAATATACAGTTCTGAATGTATTTCACAGGCTATTTCTATATCTTACCATTGTTTTTATTATTACGTTTTTTATATAGTGTCACTTGTCTAGTCTAAGTTGTCTGGCTTTGTCCCTTTACGGTTTCTAGTTACAGACAAATTCATACTGTGATTTTATTTTTCTTATGAAATGCTATCAAACTGTGATACACTTATAATTCACTGGTCCTGCATCAGGAGATGGAGTGGGGAAACTGTATTAAATACAGTTCATCTGAATAATCTGTCTGGTTTATACAAGCTGTGTTGTTCAGAGATGTCAACGTCTGATCTTTGTTTTTTTAAAGATAAAGCACTTGCCCCACTGTAAATATATAGCATGAAAAATTTATATAGTATATAAATACAACAAAATAAACTTTTTCCAATGTCTTGAGTTGTTCAACTCTACCCCATCAATCTAGTATAGTATCTCATGTAAACCACCTTCTTCAGCCAGCTCTTACTCAAGAAGCCCACCGGTCTTCCCCAAAAGAAGCAAGTCTGATGAGAGTCCACAGCTCTACTGTAATAAAGAGAGGACAGTTGGTTTTGTATTGCAGTCAGCAAAGGAGAAAAGTTAGATTTCTTGTTTAAAGTGCAGGCTCCAAGGGAATTCTAGTTCTCTTCTTCAGGTGCCACTGAAAAGATGGTGCGCTGAGCATGTCAGCAGAAGCAGTGACTTGGAGGTAGGGACTCCTTGGCAGCTGCTCATGGTAAGAAAGGTTTAACTGTAACAGCATACTCCTGAATAAAAATAGGGCCAGGTTGTTCTAGTTTAGCTTTCATTGGCTGAGGGGTAAAAGCAAGCAGATGGACAGTTACTGGGCTGTTAAGTCATTAATTTGATTATCTGTATCCTTAGGAGTAACACACTAAACAACTGGTTCTTCATAATAAAACAAATTATTTTTATTTAAATAATAAATTTAAAAATGGCAGGAAAAAAAATCTTAAACCTTTAACAAACATCTCTCTCTTGTGCTTACCATTTCTCCAGTTAGGAGCTGGAGGTGCACAAACCAGAGCTCAGGTCAAGGAATCTTCCATCCATGCATGGCATTCCTAATAGAATTCGAGTCTGTCCTTTTATCTTCCTTTTGCATTGTCACTGCTGCCTAATTAAGAGGAAGAGATTTGTAGGCTCTGGTCACTTGTGCAACTATTTTTGTATCCTGCCTTGAGAGAAATGAACAGTCATCAGGTACTGCTTGGCCAAATACAGGGTGGTTGAGGAAAGCGTCTCTTCAGGAGTTATCACTCGCATTTCAATGTATATGTTGCACTCAGTGAGATCAGATATATTAAAGTGGGGAAGACCATTTAACTCACTCACTGAGACCAGAGATGGAAAAGGGGTGGTTGTATTTAGATACTCCATGCATTAGCCATAAAAGAAAGTTATGCATGTGTTTGAGCAAATGAAAGGAGTTAAACAGCTGTATTGTTTCATATTTTATTTTTGAGAGTGAAAGGTTCTCATCAAGGTTTTAAGCAAGTTTTACTGGTAAATGAAAACATTAATATTAAAATGGATTTACACGACTACAGCATTATTGCAAACATTAACAATGATGGATACAGAATGTTTTTCATGCGAGTCATGTATACACACAATGCAAACCAATACATAACTGTACAATATTTACATTTTAACTTTATATTTAAACAAATTAGAAACATTTTCCAAGAAAATATAGAAAGAAAACTAGTAAGCCACAAGTCTAAATTTGTAGCTTATGGTCTACAACA